GAAGAGCGGCAGAAACACCAAGAATTTAGCCGTTATTAATCAAAAACGTGTTTTAAAATGAAACACTGATATAAAAACTATAATCTCAACTGAAGCTAAACATTAATTCCCCCTGACTTCAACTTTCCTATTCCATACACACTTGAAACTCATGGGAATTTAGACCAACAGTCGTTCTATAGCTTGCTGGACAGACTGGATCTGAGGCTTTAGCTGTGATCCCTCCTTGATGGTGATGGAGCAGGCAATGACAGGTCGGGAAACTCCACACGCCCGGCCCAGGGCTTGCTTGGAGCGCACAAACACGTAAGGTACATTCTTGTCCTCGCAAAGAAGAGGGAGGTGCAGGATGATCTCCAGGGGCTCTGCATCTGCCGCCATCACAATGAACTCCGCTATCCCTCGGTTCAGTGTTTTGGTGGCTGGAAAAGAAACTGAAGATTAAGTCTAGGTCCTTCTAGAAAGTACATCTAATGAAAAATAACTTTAGGAGATGTTGAAATTGGCATGAGCAAGAAGATCTACTGGAAGCATAAGGACAGGCAAAAAGAAAATCTGAGAGACTTAAGAGTTTCTGTCCTTAAGGACTGGGATTTTTTGATGTTTGACTAGGCAAAGCTCTGAGTGACCTGATCCAACTGTGAAAGGAGCTGCTCTCGGAGCACATTGCATTAGAGACCTCCAGGGGTCCCCTCAAACCCAAATCTTTTTATGATTCTGAACTGGCTAGGCATCTGGTCATCCCAGTGCCATACCACTGAAGTATGCATGATTACAGGACATGCACAAAGTACTGTAGATAAATGCTGAAAAGATTACAGCTTAGTTCTGTCCCTGAATGTTGCTTAAGCAGTCTGGAAGGAGGAGGAAGGAGAAGGACACTTGCAATAGCCAGATCTATAACGAAGTTAGCAGCCCACAGCTAGAGAGAAGAGAGAATCTCTGACCACAGCTTCTCACAAAATTCTTAGCACTCTTTGCAACACACAGGTCTCACCTTCATTGGCTCCCTTGCGTAGCTGCTTATAGTTGCAGGACTGCTGCACGAGATCCAGTAGCGTTTTGGTGAGCTGTGCATCGGCCAGCGGGTAAGCTTTGGGATTCACTTCTGCCTCAGTCTAGAGAAAGGAGAATGTAGAACAGCATTACAACAGGAGCAAAGCGTTCTGAACAACGCTACATAGGCATCACATCCACCACATATATTGACTACTAGAGTCACCTCACTGTTCTCAGTTGCTCTGAGCATATACATATGCTAAAAATCCCACTGCATTTTGCTTCTCAAGAGGGATTCTTTTTGTACTTCAATTAGAGAGCATCTCTACTCACACAGTCAGCCAATTTAAACCCTACAAACTACCAGCAGTGAACTTACAGGGCAGTCTTCAAGCAGCTGCTACCACAGACACTGTATAGAACCAACTGTTTGAGTGCACAAATTAACAAGCTCAGACTCGAATTTTAAAGAACCCCCCCAAATATTAGTACTGCTACTACAAGTAGCTTTTAAATGCTAACATGAATGGCGCAGTGAAACCGCAACGAAGGCACAAGCAGCACTAACGACCAGGACTGGCGGAACAGCGGCTTTCCTCAGCTCCCCTCGCTGCGGCCAACGCCGGCCCTCTCAGCACCCGGCAGGGGTGGCCCCACGCCGCTGTCTGCCCTCACACGCCGCTACAGCCCTGCTCCGGCCGAGCACATGCTCCCGCCCCCCG